TATGTGTATGTGTGTGTGTGTGTGTGTGTGTGTGTGTAAGAGGGGAGAGGAAAGAGAGAAGGTCCTCTCTCTCGACAAGGAGGTCCTAAGGGGTGGTTGGTTGGTCAGTTCTGACTGGAAGAGAAAGCTGGAAGTTGAACGGTGGTGGGGATGGAGCACGATGCCAGGAATATAAAGCGAGGGATGAAAGAGACGGCGGTCACATATGCGACTCGTAAAAGCTCTTCTGAAAAGCTGCATTCGTCCCACACAGGGAACCTCTGCCTCTGGAACTCGGCCTCTCTTACATTTCAATGACGTCGCTGAGATATCGCGAATATGTTTTCGTGCGAAAGGAATCGGGACGAAATCTATTAAACTTGCACTCTCTCTCCTTTCTTCTTTTTTTTTTTTTTTTTTGCTGTTTCATTATTGAACATCTCGTGAAATGTACGACGTGTTCATCCGTTAAGCTGGCGCGTACGATCGAAGTTTGATAGGTAGTTAGTACATAGTTTTATTCGAAACGTCATAGATTCGTTCAAGTAATATTCATTGTTGTTCGGTTGTTCGTTTTTTCGAACGAATAACTTCAGATTTGTCAGAATTGTTAATTTTAGAATTCAAAGGGTCTTACAATGGTTTCTCAATTACGTTGATTAGATAGAATAAAAAATACATTGGCATAAGAGTTTAAATTTAAATTTAAATTCAAGTTCAAATTTATATAAGAAAATCACAGTATTATTATCAGAAAATCACGAATATTTTGATCGTAGCTTAATAAATTAAATTTCATTTAATAATAAAGTTTTTAACTAATATAATAAATTCTTAACATCAAACATACATGATTTATACCCAGTTCAATACAATTATAGCTAATCACGAGATTTAATCAATATTGATGTCTTAGAGTTAAATTTAGTAGAAAAACTTAATACACTGAAGTTTCAAATCTGGAGTATTAATTGGTTGACAACTAAACGTACTAAGCGGGGCCAAATGATCCGCTTTTCAAAGTTTACTTTGAAATCGTACATTCGTTGTTATTTCTTTCGCTAATCTGACTTTTTGTAAATTTCTTATATTATCTGATTATTCAATTTCTCGTTTTCTGTTCTTCTCTTAGCTCTATCTGATTATTCAATTTCTCGGTTTTCTGTTTTTCCTCTTAGCTTATTTTTTACCGAGAGAAATTCTTTGCATACCTTATGTACCGCGAGGGGTCATTTGACCCTTATGGTAAGATAGGTATATGTAAAATGCCGGTACGTTTAGTATTAAGAATTAAATAGAGATATATTTTGATACATACACGTCTCTGTACTTTTCATTAAAAAAATAAAAAAAAGAAATACTACACATTCTGATATAAATACTGAATTGAAAGATAATGTTTCGAGCAGCAATTAGCTTCACAAATTTCCAGTCCTCGATTTCATCTTTCAACGATACTTACATTATGATAATCGGACAAGAACTTCTTCTTTCGCACCTAATTAGCACAGTGCTTCGACTGATAATCAATTCCGTGGATTGCCAATTTTTCATCGATTCTCGAACAGATACATCGCCACAATCGAGCAGAGGTACGACACGCGTCCGGCGAGAATCCGCGGCGACATCGCGTTTCTATGGAAACGTACAAAAGGCACGTTCAACCCCGGAGGGATCTAGCGATATCGGCGAATATTAAGAAATAGCTCTCGACCGGCATTTCCGTACATTTGTGGGCAGAGAAACGAGCCATTCGTTTGCCGGCTAGAACGAGGTGCTGTCTATGCATGGCACGCCACCACCAACCATCCAACCGTCCCATAAATAATATCTTCTCGCTCTTCCCTTTTTACTGTCCTCCTCCGATTCCCGTACGGTTCGCGTCTCGGTCGAAAGCCGTATCTCTTTTTCTCCATGCGCGTCGTATTCCGCGCGAAAAGCACGTAATTCAGGTCTGGAAAATCGAGATACGTGCCTCTCGATCGCCGATAAAGAAACGATGTATCAGGTATTTTTTTAATTCTACACGCTGCAGAAGTAGTCGAGATGTCTCTACCGTTTTGATGGAAGCTTCGTCGTTACTGAGAATTTTGCGACTTTTGTTGAGAGAATTTGAAGAACGTAAGTTAGAGTAAATACATTTCAAAGAGGCGATCTGAGAGTATTTTCATCCGCTTCTTCATCACGTCGTATCGCTTTTGCGATGTAAAATAAGTAAATTAATAGAATGATTAATAGATCGATATAATAGATTAGCATAGAATTATACCGAACACTGAAATCAAATATATAGATTCTAGTAATATATCATTATCGGATCTAGTAATATAGTAATATAGCCATCTCGGGCAGTAATTTCATGAAAAGTAGAATATTTACAAGTAGAGAAATTCGATTAACGTTTAGAAAAATTTCTATTCTATCTTTAAATGCAATTTTACGCTTATACAAATTATGATTTCAGTTTAACAAAATTTAATCTTTGCATCTTCCGATTTAATTGAATATTTACCAGAAACATCGCAATGCAATTTAACATAATTAATCAATTTCATCTACTCCAAAGTCCTCGAGATCCACTTTCTCCGTTACTTAAAAATCTTCCCCGGCTTGTAAAGACATCCCTTGCAAAGAAGTATACCGAAACATATCGATAGCCAACGAATTTATCATCGAACGGCGACAAGCATCGCGTTTTTTTTTTTTTTTTTGTTTCCTTTCTCTCCTGCCCGAGTGAAACAGACAATCCCTGGCGGAATTGTCGGCCGCTTAATCGTCCATTTCCACCTGTCAGTCGTTGCCGATGGACTCACAAAGAAGAGTCTTCTATCTTTACAGAGAGAAACCGGCAAGAAAACGCAGCCAAAGGGAGAAAGAAAATTCGAGAATGTTGGTGGAGAGAAGCGAGGCGGATTATGAAGCGCATACTACCGCGGCAAATAAAAATCGCTTCCGCGCGGCTGGACATGCGGGAAAACAGGGAGGAAGAGAGACGTTGCCTCGTCATAGAGCCGGGGAATTACCGGAAGATGTCCCTTGGAAGCTTCGTGGCCGGGGGGAAAGGCTGACAATAAGCGTTCCGTGGTCACTGCACCCTGCATGCGCCCGTGTTCTCCTTCGTCGAGAATAGAAGGCAATTCGTGGATGTAATTTCTTAATAGTTTGTCCGGTTTATGGTGCAATTCTGTTGAAACTTATTGCGAAAAAAATCGGTGGATATCGTAACTGTTGGAATGCAGGTGTTTTTTCTTTTTTTTTTTTTTTGCTTTTTTTTCTTTTTGCAAACGGAGAGTGCAGATAGTCTACACTGTAGATGAAAAAAGATGTTAACGCACTAAAATTATCAACGACTAGCGCCTACAATTTTCCATCAGGGACATTGAAGTAAAAAAATAGTGAAAGTTTGTACAATAGAGTGTACAAACTTTTGCTTATATATATTTTATGAAAATTCATTTGAACCTTTAAATGTATCTGTTTTACGGCTGTATAATATATCTAAGAGAAATTATAGATTGGTCATTTGAGCAACTTTGGTAATTCTAATGTTGATAATTATATCTCTCAATCGTGTGCAAGTTAGTTTCGATACAAAAAATGTTGCAAGCAATCGAATTAGCATACTTTTATTTGGAATCTCTAGAATCTTTAGAAATTACTTGTTGATAATTACAAATTAGTAACTACAACTCTCTGTTCTTTATAAAATCTCTACGAAATATACGAATATGCGAATAAGCTTTAGATTGTACTATATTATGGAAGATTAAAATTAAATAGAAGATACATGTCGCCATATACATATATCATAGCTACGTCAACAATATGGAGATATGAAATTATCTCCACTTCTTTTAAAAATAAAACTATATATTTATATATGTAGATTAAGTAATTTTCAATCTT